AGGAAATGGAGACCTATACATTCACATACCGATTCAAAGTAGCTATTTCACAATTTCATTTCTTCTGTATTAACTACCGCTGTGCTCTTTTCTCCTCATTAAGCAAATCAGACCTCAGTCATCTGAGCAATCCAAAATGCCACAGCTAGACTTCTTACTAGGTCAAACAGATGGTCCCATTACACTGAATGGAATTCAGTTCACCATCAGGCCCCTACATATCTGACAGATGTACTCCACCCTTGTTGTGACTGGGCTTTTGAGACAATAGCAGCAATGGTACCATTGCTGTACGTACATCTTTTAATGAATCGGTGAACTCATTCAAACTCCAGGTAAGAACATACCTGTTTAAACAGGCATTCATGTGATTCTGTCTCTCTACGCACTTTACTGGACTTAGGCACCGTAAAGCACCTTGTGAATCTTATTTTGTGATTTGTTTTAGCAAAATTAGGTATACTAATATCCAAAAATCTAGTATCCACCACGGAGACTCTGGTATCATATTGGTATTAGAACATTTTAAATGTTACCCAGGGTACTAGACCTGACTGTTATTATACCAAGGGTCTTGACAGGTTGTTTTTTTTCTCAGGGTTCTAAATCCTGAACAGTGTTCCAGTCCTGACTTCTGAGAAAAGCTTCCCAGCAGCATGATGCTGTAAACACTATACCTCACAGTGCTGAGCGGTGTCTCAACACACACATGTGCCATTTATGTCTGAGTTTAACTTGCTGTCTTGCTGTCTACTCCCTGCTGTCAAACAGAAGAGTTTTTCAGCATTAAAAGCACCGACACACACACCTATTGGGCGGTGAGCTGTCTCTCAGACGTTGCCTTCATCTGGCCACCTCACCACACAGGCCTGATAGATGGAGAGCTTTAGGGATGGATGGTTTTGGTTGTTCTACACCTTTTCTACCTCAGTGTGATGGTGTCAAGTGTACTGCAGGGACCAATACATATTTTTATGATCCGTGCTTCTGAAATATACTGTCATGAAAGTCTATTGACATCCACTCTCATATGTTTGTGTGTCATATGTATGGGGAGGTATGTCCCATTGTAAAGTCAAGTAAAATACAGAAGAATATAGTAGCAAATACAATATGATATATATTTTTATTATGGCATCTTGATTGAAAATTATGTGTATTATTTCTTGTAGTGCCTGATGCATTATAATGGAGGGGGTTAAGTGTCTTGAAAATGGAGCTCTGAGCCTTGGTCTTTTCAAACACTTAGTCTAACACCAGCTTTAAATTCCAAGGTGTTCACGTCGCTGACAACATACTTCACCTAGTCCCTTAATACCACCTTCCTGGTTATGAAGATACAGCTAAATCTCTAAATCTCTCACACTTAGCCCCTGACGCACTAAAAGGAGAATCCTACAATAAAACAGGCTCATGTTATGGTATCGTAACTATTCTGTAACTGCCCTGCTTTGAGCAGACATTGAAACTGCCCAAGTCCACAAATTCATTACATTCCCCTTAAATGCAGTCTGAGAGAAACATAGGACTGTCAGAGAATAAAGAAGAATTCTACGAGCACTGTTTTGTAGCACTTTTGCTGTGGCATTAAAATAAACTGTGGCAAAAAGCTGTGAAATGGCCATTTGTGTCGACATGGAAAACCTGCACCATCAGTATAATTTCAGATTCTGTGGTACTAACAATTCAATACAAGGGGGTTTTAAACAGTACACTGTGATCCCAAGTGTTTCTGTTGTCTCCACAGAGGAGATGAAGGGCACAAGAACAAACTAAGAAGCCATGGGACTATATTCAGATCAGATAATTAGGTCTATGGTGTATATCAGCGCCATAAATGAATCATGGGACTGTGCAGACTGAGGCTCAGAAGTGTCTGGGTACCTCAGCTTCAGCAAAGATCTTTGTTAGCATGTGGCCAGCAGCTGCAGGCTAGCTCATTAGCTGAAAATAACATTGCAGAGTTGTATTAGTGTTTTGATATTTGTGAGACCTCTACTAAAGTATAACTCAACTGGGCTCCACATTGCTCATTTTAAAGCAAACGAAGGGCTGATCCTCTGATGTTCACCCTCACACATCACACAAAGCCTAAGATTGCGATTTTAATTCCCCTTATATTGTGACTTTACAATATATACAACTCTTTTCCCGTAATATTATGACTCTATCCTCATAATATTGCGATTTTTTTCCTCTATATTATAAGTTACGACTATTCTCCTAAATTTACCACTTAATTCTTGTTATATTACAACTAAATTGTCAAATCTTACTCTCAGTTTTTTATTGTGGTCCTATTACTCTGTCGTATGAATTTCCTGACAGCCTCGACTCTAAAAGGCTGCAGTAACACAATAACATCATCCTGGTTTTAAAACACATTAAAGCCAGGATGTTAAAAGGTACACAAACATTAGAAACTGATGATGACAGCTGCCCAGGCTCAATGTCAATTTTCATGAACTTCAAATCCAATCAGTAATTCAAACTACAAGTCGCTATTTGAATTAAAACATCCAGAGACAGCTTTGAACAGTGATGACCTCTCAACAGGGGGCGCCTCACTGACAGATCGGGCATCTGTATCCATTTCCATCCTCAGAGTCTGCCCTGATGTGGCGTTGATAAAGTGATGGGGTGTGTCTCAGTCGGGACCTCCCAAGAGGAGGGTGGACATCTGCTGCCTCTAAGGTCCTGTCACATGAAATTACAGACTTAATCAAGTCCTCTGCATCTCCTTGCCCTTCTCCACCTCCTCCTTCTGGATGTGACTTTCTGCCTCTACCTCTGTCTGTATCTGTTCCCTGCCTCTTGCTCTACGCCCTCCTCTCTTTTTCAATCTATCACATGCAGTTTTTTTCTTTGCTCTTTGCTCTTTTCTCCTTGACTTTCCTTCTTATCCTCTCTCAGCACGGCACCTTTATCGCCCTCTCCTCTCCTTTCCTCCCCTCCACTGCCTTTATAGGTCACAGGGAGTGGATCCAGCCTCCTGCTTCTGAGCATTACTTAAACTTCAGTTATGTCTGCTGGCCCGCAGCAGAGCCGTACCTGAGCCCAGGGGATCCAGTGACCTTAGGAATGCAATGGGAGGAGAGACAAGATATACTGTGTATTTAGTAAAGCTGAAGACGTAAAGAGAGACAGGAAAGGGGAAGAGAAGGAGACAATAAATAATGGACAGAATGAGATGAAAAATTGTGATATATTCCACTTTACTGCAGTGTGCATGTATATAGTGTTTTTATTAAAGCTGCAGTCGGTGGGATCGCTGGAAAAATGGTTGATTGTTAAGTCTCATACCGCAGAATGTTCAATACTGATGTTTTAGCAAGAAGGCATTCTGACCTGAGCCCCTTCCATCAGATTAGCAGACGCATGGGTGCCATACTCACACGCGACAGATGTCCCACATATAACTTATTATGTTTATCGTCCGACTTTATTTTGGCATCTTTTTTGATGATTCATTCATCTTTTTTGCAGGTTGCTTTGGCAGTTGTTGCCGATGCTGAAACAGCAACCTTTCCTTAAGGATTTACTGCCAATGATTCAGGACAGGCTTTTCCTTGAGGGGACGTCGGACGCAGCGCTCCCTGAACTGCCCAGTGATTGGTTAAAGTCTCCGTTCACGGGCCATGGGGCAAGATTAGCTCAAGGATGGAGACATCCTTTGTCTGACTTTGACGAACTGCAGGGTTAGGGTTAGTCTAGTTTTCTCTCAGATCTGTTGCTATATAACAATATAAATACGTGTTCCACCCCAGCTTAAAGTGAATAATAGTGATGCACAAACTGTCCCTTTGAGTGTAAATGGTACAATGTCAGCATGCTGTTTTTAAGGGCCTCCATCTTGTCTCTTAATGATTCTATAATTTTTCTGTGTTTTCATCTCATGGGGCAAATATTGGGATTGGTAGTTAAGTTGCTTCAGCTTTTTTAACTTCAAAAGCAATTAGTTGTTCATTTGAAAATCAACTAAGAGGATTAGCTCAAATGAACCTGAACCATTTTCTTTATCGCTGTCAAGTCTCACTGATGATGACATGATGTTGTGTTTCACCATAAGTGAACTGACTGAAACTCATTTAAAAAAAAGTGCAAAGCAAAGGTGTTGACCTTTGATCCCATGACCTTGAATTTTCAATCTGAGGGACCATGTTTTCTGCACATTAAAATATTTACAAAATACTGCACAGTCCACTAATGAAATAGGGTAAAAAAATGTCCATCTCCTTTGTTTGGAATGGAGGACTTCATGACATGGCCACTGTATTTCTAAGGTTGTGCAGAGAGCCCTGATGCTATCAGAGAGGTTTGAACATACTGTCCATTACATCATACTGTAAAGTCTTGATTTACATCAGAGTCATCCTCAAAAACTCTTTTCCTCATTCTAACACCAGGGGGATTATTCAGAGGCATTAAGTTTGAGGATTTGGGAATGTTTCATCAGCTCTATGTTTGTTATGATCCAACTTGCCTTACTTACAGCATCCACTGCAAATAAATTCTACCTCTACATACCATGGTTCACTGACAACCCCTACTACAAATTTCAAATGAAAAATGCAATCAATCTTTGTGTCTTCCATAATTTGATTAACAGACGTTCCGGGATTGTGAGTTTTGTGTTGCTCCTCATTGGTTGAGAAGATAATATCACCTGAGGCTCAGTGAAATAATGAAAAACCTGCAACTGAGGGACCATGTCCTTGATGCAAAGTATACATACAAATATGTAAAACTGCTTAAGTACAGAATGTGCTGCACAACCTCCTCTGCTGACACACACTTAAACACACATGCCATATACCAACAACAATGAACGCTCTGGATCCCCTCCAAGGAAAAGCCCAACACAATACTGCTAATCCCTTCCCCAATCAACCGTCTGTGAGTGTCAAACCCCGATAAGCCCCTTAACTAACCACACACACACTCACACACACAGATACAAGACAGAGTCTGTCTCAGTCACGCTGCATGCTTCCACTCACCCATGGCAAAGAACGGGATCCCCAGCAGCGTGGAGTTGAACTTCCCGTCTGATATAAAGAAGATCCCTGCGGCCGTCACATTGGCGATGCAGATGGTCAGCACACCCAGGAGGCCCAGGAACGGCTTCCCCCTCAGGCAGTCCCTCATGGAGCTGGAGATGGTGGCGGCCAGGAGCACCAGCACCAGGCTGACCAGCACCTCCCCCTTTGCCAGCACGCCAGTCTGGTGGAAGTCCCGCCACAAGCTGAAGGAGGTGAGCGACTGGATGTGGAGTTTGTCAGAAGCGTGGGGTGCCTCGGCCGTGGACAGCCGGCTGACCAGGGCACCAAACTCATTCTCCCAGCGCTCTGCAATGGCATCCTGCACCACGGGTCCGTGGTTGCGGAGGTAGTAGGTGATTTGAACTGCACGGGCAAACTTGACCTGCTGGTCCCGGCTGTTGGGTGAATAGGACACGCCGCCCAGCTGGTGGCCGATGAAAGACACACGGCCATCCTGCAGGGGATGGAGAGATATCTGACATTAGCTCTGATAAAACAAAACTCAAATATTTTTATTTTGATTCTATACTGCTACTGGATTTTGCAGATATGCTCTTGCAGTTCACTTTTAAATGGTTTGATTTACGGAGCACAGATTCAACCCTATACTGAATATGACATCAGACTACAGGCTGGTACTGATTCAAGGGGTTATATACAATATATTTGAGTCATCAGTGGGAAAGATGTGTTAACTCCTCTACAATCTATGTGCAGCATTAGTTCTTTATTGTCACTAATAGTGACCACCAAAGTGTGACACACATTCAAAAACTCAACTTCATGATTAATGACGAATGTGCAAATGCAATCATGAACACACACACACATGCAGTCACACACAACATTGTACAGCGAATTCAAACCCCTACATGACAATGTTTTGTTGTTGTAACAATGTCAACTTTAATTTGCAGCTTATTGCAGATAATATCTTATGAACATAATAATCCAGCCACAGTCAAACAGCCACAGAATGCTGTTTCACAGCAGGGAGCTCGATATGAATCTCATGCTTCTGGATAAATCCTGTAATTGTTTGCTTCAGTTTCTGGGGGTAATTTACTACATTGACAGAAAAAAATGGATTCAGTACTCTGCTTGGGCTTGATGTGGGCAGCAGGATAAATCAGTTACCTTCAAGGTACTTAAGTGTTCCTGTCTATAGGTCAACAGCCAGGTTGTAGTCTGAAAACCTTCCAACTGACTACCTCTGATATATTATAGAACATATAAAGTGATATTTCAATTGTGTTGCTTCATGACAGTGTACAAGTGTGTGTATGTATTGTAATCACTTTTTAATTGCGAAGGGAACTTAGAAAGCTTTAGCTCTCATTTCAATTATGTAATTGCATAAAGCTGATATCAAATTTCAATACCCACAATGCACTAATCTATAAACGTTTGTATCCGTATGTGCAAAGGGCGGGAACACATACATACATGTGACCAGCTGTAACATGGGGAATCATGCAACAATTTACAAATCATCCGAAAAATGTCTGTTCAGTTACGCTTTTGAAAGTGCTCGAGGTTAGTTGTCTCCTCTTGTTCTTCTTCGAGCCTTTGGAAAGACAAAATATTATTCTCAGTGCTGCTGTGTGTGTGTGTTAGCGACAAAGTGACAGAGTGGGAGTAGGTGGGGATTTGCCACCACACAAAAGCGTGTGTGTGTGTGTGTGTGTGTTAGTGCGATATCTCTGAGGAGCTGAATGATATGTGAAAAGGGGTGATGTGACACCTCTTGAGCTTCCTGACAAAAGATGGATGTGAGTATAGTGGGAGAGGTGCTTCCAGGCTTTTCTGACAAATTAAAAATTAGAGAAACCCATCAATTCACGAATGCTGATATACTTTTACTTTTACAAGGGCTACCAAATTGATATTGTTTTATATTAACAGCCTTTTCTTAAGGAGCTCTCCATTATTGTTTTACAACATTTTTATACTTGGAAACACATTCCAATACCTAAGAGGGAGATAACACACATGCACTGTCACTCAGTCTCGAAAAAAGAGGAAACAAGAGTCCAACTGAGGGTAGACGGGCCTCAGCGCTACAGTATCTGCGTCTCCTTCAGTGCCGTCATTGTTGTGTGACGTCAGACAACTGCTTCTCTGTGAAGTCGGGGTAGATAGATTTTTCAGGTCGGGATTCTGACTTTGAGAGGCGTTCCATTGCACTTTTTCAAATAGGAGTTTGGACAATTCCAAACGCAGCATAAGGGTAGCCTCTGTGAGTAAGTTTGTTTTCCACAATCCCCATCTTAATTTAGCACGTTAGCATGCCTATATTTGTGAACTGGAATGGCTCTCAGTGGAGTACATACATCCACCAAGACCCGACAGTTCCCATAAAACAACCGGCTGCATCACGGACATTATTGTTAACGTACTTGCTTAGGTACTTCACATGTTACTGAAAGCCCACCACAGAACTTGGACTTAACATTGTAGAGCACTCGGCACAATGATCTTTGACTCAGACCGATCCTTCGGTCACTTCCGGGCAAAATGGACACTGATCCTATTTGACCAGGCGATTTGTCACCGCACGATGTCAATGACACATCATACAGATGTCCGGACCTGGTCACAAAGCTTGTCTTCCAAACTGCCCACCATTTCTGTCACTGACCCTGACCTTCGCCAAGTGGATTCAAAATACAGGAAGCAGTAATTTTTTTTCGTTTTTCATAAAAGCCTCTGCATTTTTGCTTGAAATTCACAAAAATATTAAAAAAATAAACACATTATCTGATATTGTGAAAGTAGGTGAAAGAAAATTCCTGGATCTCTTCTGCTCCAAAATGTTGTCAGCCAAAGTGTCAGCCAAACAAACAGCACTAAAAACACCTTGGTGGACGTAAAAAGCAAAACACATACAGTAAAGCTGAGGCTGAAGGAAAATAAGTACAAGAAAAGTCAAATTTATGACCCAATGACAACCTGAGAAAATTCATTCAAGTAAATATCCGAGTATTGATTTCAACCTTATCACCCAGACCTCCTATCTTTTAAAGCACTTAATAATGAAAATACTTAATTGGGGGTTTTAATCTAGTTTGAGGAGACATCTGAGGACACTATTGATTGTTTTTTATTGCAGAGTTCCCAAATGCACCCTGAGGCGAGCCAGTTATTGACACACACACACATACGTAACCTCATCAGCCGGTTCTCATGCCTCGTCTCCTCTCCCACCCTCCAATCACATCAGCTCTCCTGCAGGATTTTAAGTGCCATGGACCATGCTCTGCATATCAGCGGTTTTCCTGCAGCTTCACACCACTGCTGCTCTCACCTTCAGTTTTATGATTTATTAAACAGAAAACAAACATTGACCTTAGCTTGACATTGCCATGCAGCACATGACCCGAACTATTCAATAACTTAATTTAATCCAGCACTCTATTTCACCGACCTCTTATGAATGGATCCAGGATCTTGTACTTGTCTGACACAGTATTATTGGTGTTAGAATAAATCTAATTCAGAAATGGCACATCTGTGTTTTTAAATAAATCAATTTTGACTACCAGACCACTCAACTGTGAAGGCCCAGTGCAGCCAATGCTATTATTTGTTGTGCTTTCTTACATCAAGTTATCGCTTAATTAACATGACATTGTAAAAGTGGAACTTTGCTGTACATATATGTTTTAAACTTGTTATGTTATTTGACACCTGTCATGTAAATATCTTATCATCTTTTTTCTTTGCAAAGGGGATACGGGTGTTGTTCTTGTTGGAAGTCATTCCTATGAATAAAACTGATGTAGCTGTTGTCATAACTCAACTAACAGAAATAGGAACTTTGGAATTTGCCTTTTTCTAAAATGATCGTGAAAAACATGGGGTGCTCCAAGTTACTGCTACTGCCACCTGATTTTTGAACAATGACATTGATGACACTCGTCCTGTAATCTGTCAACATCAGTACATTAATCATATTGAATAAAGAGGTGAAGCAAAATTGCAGTCCTGTCTGATTGACAGGTTCGGTCCCGGAATGTCCAATTACTGTTGCTCCGGAGTCTACACAAAAATCTCTGTCCACACAACCTTTGTAAAACAAAATATCTTTGTCCAGATAAAGACACAACAACACAGACACAACTACAAATGCTTAAACAAACATGCTGGGCCAGTAAGTGGCAATAAAATGAACCTTCAAATAGCTGTGGTCCAAGAACTATTGAGCGAGGCAAACGCTTTAATGCTGGTAATGTGCTGCAGCGATTCTAAATGTAGCTCCTAACTTGTAATGAGACCCAAATGCTGACCAAACATAGAGAAACCTGTATACGGCCGCAATTGTTATTTAGTCTGACACATGCTCAACAGTAAGAGTAGTGTGCATTCACAAAGTGCACTGTAATCTCAATGTTTAACAAAATGTACACACTGATGAACAGAAACCACTCCATTACCTTTAAAACAATCTCTGCTTTAATTACTTAAAATTACATTTGTGTGGACAAAAGGAAAACTGAGGAAAAGGTCAATTTTGAAAAATATCTGCATTAGTGTGGAGAGGGCATTAGTCAACCAGACCAGTATAATATGAGAAGAAATCAGGATATCAGGTAGAGCAGACTTGGAAATTGGAAATGATACTGTGTATTTTTGTTATCAACAATGAAATACACCTTAACCTTCACCACCAGGGAATAGAACAACTCATAACATGTTTCATTTGCAATCAATAGATGTGAGGTGTTAAAATGTTAGTAAAGTTACTCTTATCGGAGGATGCCGAGGGACTTCAGAAGGTCATAGTCCCTAAAGTAGAAAAACAATCTAGTGTGTTATTTCCCCCCCTTTAAAGGTAATGGCTTTGTCTGTGGCTGAAATTGTAACAAATGATGGTTTGCTTTGGATGAGGGCAACAAAACAACTACTACAACTACATTCTCATCTGAAGTCGGAGTACTCGGAGTACTCGGAGGAAACTGACACAAACACATAAACTCCACACAGAAAACCTCCTGCCAAAGCAGGACTCAGAAACCAGAGCTTTCTTGCTGTGTGTTTCCAAATATCTGCATGTGTTTGGACTGGGGGGGAAAGTACAGACATGGTGAGAACATTCAGAAAATCCTGTTCAAACCAGGAACCTTCTAGTTGTGAGGCGACAATGCTTACTATTGAACCACTGCACGTTCTATTTGTAAGTCCTGATTGGCTATAGTTAATTAATTTACCTCCATTTGCTGTATATTTGCATATCATTCTTTAATCTATTTTTATTCTTGCGACACCTGACCGCTTTAAAAGATTACAAATCTGGAAATACAGCAGACAGGGCAAAACAAAGCAAATATATTTTAAGAATTTTCTCCTGGGAACAGAGCAGAAGTTCAGCTCAGCAAAAAGTAGGACTTTCTTCTACGTCTGTAAAGCAGGCACAGAAATAAACCCCGGTTGTGACTTCAAAGAGGATGAGGTATAAGAAGTCAGGCAAATGAATTAGCCCAGACAGCTTGTCAGACAGGCCGACGGAGAGAAAGAGGATTCAGGAACATGGAGAGTGCAGCGAGCCTGATACAGAGTGAGGAGAGCTGGAGAGGAAAGAGGTCACAGCAGCCTTCAAGAGAGAATTAAACATCCTTCATGTTGCAGAGAACCTGCTGGTAATGTGCCTGTGCCCGTGAGCATACATTTTGTGTAATGACAAAGAAAACTTCTACATTGTTTTACATCCAGCAGGCACAAGTTAGCATGGGTAACACGTTTCTTTGATGAGAAGATTTGACGGTCGAATAACTATGTGCCGATAATCAGTCACATCACAAGAAACACATCTGTTTTAGCTCATTTGGGGGAAGCATAATCTAGTTTGGTGCACAGCTTTGACATATCATAGTTTTCATTGAGTTTGTATGTATGTTTATCTGTTTGTCAGCAGGATTACTCAAAATATAGTTCACAGATTTCCATGAAATGTTGTGGCAGAGTGAGGTATGACCTAAGAAAGCACCCAATAACTTCTGCAGCACATCCAGATAGACCGATGGATCCAGGCACTTTTATTTTTCACTTTCTTTAACTTGGTGAGAGAGCGTTAGTTTTGGTGAAGGATGCACTCTCCAAGCAGCCAGATAGTTTACATATTCATGCCTCCAGTATATGGAACATGGGAACATGGTGCAGCGTGTATTTAAGAGGTTAAAACAAATTTATAGCACCAGCAGCCTGAAACTGCTTTTTCACTGGTGGCAGTGAACCTAAACAACCTACGGAAGGGACGGTTAAACAAAGAGCTGAAACTCACTATAAGGCTGCTGCAATGCTGAGAAGAGGAGAATCCATGTTAATAAAACAGCCCCTTTTACACAGGGTTTCCAAATTGTCATTTGATAGATTTAAAATGTAAAATACTAGTTGTATCCAATTTAAAGTGAACATAAATGCCAGCTTAATCTACATTGTGATATCAGTTGATATCAACTGATATTAAAAAGAAATTCTTACGCTTCTGTCTCAAATACAACGGAGCTGATCCTCATTTGGTTGAAGCATTGAAAACACTGTATGGACAGATTTCCACAAGCTTTTGGAGCAGGTTGACTAAAGGTCAAGGTCAACACAAACTGTAGTTACAAAACAATCGAAATCTCACATCAAACAGAAAACTATTCTCCATCATGAGACGTCAAAGGTGTGAATGAGAGTGTGAATATTTGTCTGGCTCTATAAGTCCTGTGATACACTACTGACCTGTCCAGGTTTCACCCCGCCTCTTAACTAATGTCAGCTTAGATTGGCTTAAACTCCCCCCGACAACAGATAAGCCACAAGGATAATGGATGGATGGATGATGTCATGTGATAAATCACAATGAAGTCTAAAAATGAATGAATAAATTGCATTTTAAGGTGTCTTTGCATCCTAAAGGACTAAAGACACAACCTCAAGCTTCTATAGATCTAAAAATTATAAATGACAATATGGTAGAATACTGTCCCCACTAATGTCCCACTGCCATTTCCCAATGGCATCATAATGACGTCATTATTAAATGGCATTGATTACAGTGTGCACAGGGAATGACTCGCCCCTGCAATGCTTTCCATTTGTAATTTAGACAATAAGAGGTGGAGGGACACTCAGCTGCACTGGGGCAGCAGCAGTGGTGTCTGGATTAGATAATGTGAAGGTGAGAAAAATGCACCCTGTTGTATTTTCAGGTGTAACGATGCTTTACAAATCTGAAGGCAAGATGACAATGTGAGATATTTACAGGTGAAAATGAGTCATTTAAAAAAAGAGTTATTACTGCATACTGTAAACGACCACACTCTCATGATCATGATTGAGATGGGATATGAGATGTGTATGTGATGGAGTAGTTACTCATTGTCATTGCTGTGTTCTTTAGTAGTAAAGACACATGTTTCTTTTATATTAAACTCTCTGTCAATCATTTTACATGTGCAGATGTAAGTGTATTAGAACCCGCAGCAGAAGCAAAGACATAAAAAACGATTGTCGACAATGCCTCTATGAGACTGTGTATCTCGTAAATGTCAACTTTTTATAGAAGAAAAAAAAGGCAAGAGGATGATGAATGGCCTCCGTGCTCCACTCGGACACTGATGCTGCATGGGTAGACCGTACGGCTGTGGCTCAATGGAAGTTACAACCTGCCGTGCTGGAGACCAGGCCTGTCATACACTGGATGTGTGCTTGTGACAGTTTGAGCCGACATTACGAGAAAAAAGAGAACAGTGGCAAGTGACTGTCTGTATCCCACTATATTTTGTCACAGCTGTACAGTAGAGTGGAGTCAGTTCTTCTCAGTGTCCCATTTTTAATTCATCCTTCCTTCAAGGAAAGCACACACCATGTAAATAGTGCAAATTGAACCTAGAACCTTCACACTGCACTTGGCATGTGGTTTGGGGATGATGAAATTGGATGTATATAAACGCAAAAATATATCTAATTTATTCAAATCAACCATCTTTTTTTTTTTTTGCTTTAACTTCATAATAAAGTAAATGTTGATTGCATAATGAATTGAACAATCTGCATTTCAAATGGTTCCCGATAAGTCTGGTTGTCATACTTTGTATCGTAATTTCCCTGGAAAATGAAGACTTGATTTACAGCACAAAATGTGTGCATCTGCTAATGGGCAACTAAAACAGGAGGAGGATAGTGCTTTTGTTTTAAACTGGCATTCTCCAGGTCATGGAGGTGGCGGACATTGGGAAACCAAAGTAACTGACTGTGGAGCCCGCTGCCACCTAAACATACAGCGAGCCAAGCATTAAAGAGACTGGAGGTCCACTGTCCCACCAATGTGGTGTCCCTCTAGCATTTGGACTTGTGCTGCCTGCGAAGACATCGAGGGTTCAAAGCAGTCATTCAGCTGGCATTACAAATTTCCAATGTCTTGTTCAAATCACAACTTTTTTTTGGTTGTGTCTTGTTTTGGACAACAACCCGGGATGATAGCCAACGCCATGTTGCGATAGTCTTTTTTGAAAGCAGTACCACTTGGAAACACTAGTCGTTTATTGAGTTAAATTGTGTGTTTCCACTTTCAAAGCTACGCACATGCTCACTAACACCACATCAGACTAAAATCTGCAGTGCACATCTACACATTATGCATTTGTCTATTTGGCTACTGAATGAGCACCTGCACGCCGCATATTGCTATGTCAGAGCCCACACGGCAGCAGAGAGGAAGATACAGGCCAGCAGGATACCTGAGTCTAGCAGCTGCTGTAGCCTTGTCATTATAAAGCATGTGCAGGCAGGAAAAAGCCAGAGGGAGACACTGCATCAAAAAAAAGAGAGGATATCCCTATGCATGTGTGTGTGTGTGTGAGAGAGAAGGAGAGGGAGTGTGTGTGGAGGAGCAGAGCACAGCAGTCAGGGGCTGTATGCAGCCAATCAATTCACCTGCACCAAGGAGGGAGGCTGAGAACTGCACACCGGCTGTCTGTGTGGAGGGTTCCCTCACTGCCTGCTGCATGTAGCCGCGCACAGCCCCACAGCCTGAGCCAACACTGTGTTCATTCAGAAAAATTAAGCTCCAAGGGCCAGCACTGCAATTCACATGGTGACTGGTGCTGCACTGTCACCGACACGGTGGGGGGGTGGGTGCAGGGTAACCACACACACACACACACACAGGCCTGGCTGTCATGCATGTAAAGAGGAGCTGCAGTGCCCAATAAAACCTCACCTTTAGTGTGGTGTTCGGGTAGCTCACGGGCACCTTGTGGAAAGTGCTGTTGGACAGCACAGCCTGCCTGATGTCTTCGAAGATGGTGATGATATCATCCAGCAGGCAGCGCTTGTCCCTGTGGCTCAGGACGCAGAGGTGCGCGAACGTGTAATTGAACCCCTTGTAATTGACGCGTAAATCCAGGACCTGCTTGTGGACCTGCAGGACCTGGTCGGCCAGCTCCAGGATGTTTGCCCCGGACTTGGCGAGCAGGATCAGCCTGCCATATCTGCCCGGGGTGTGCAAATCCGAGTATAGCTTGTGCTTCGACTGGTCGATCGGGAACAGGCTGTTGGCGAGACTGCGCTCGATCTTGGCGAGGCTGTGCGTCGGGGCGACCAGCACCTCCAGGTCCGTCTCCGGCTTGAATCGGCTGAGCACGGTAGATCCGAAAATGATGGTGAGGACCGCGGGGACGGTGAGGAAGAACACGGGGTGCCTGCTAACGAATAAGCCCAGCCAGTAGAACGAAGCCTTGAGCCCTCTGTGGATCACTTGCCGCAGCATCCTCCACAAAATCCAGCTTGCAGATGCCCCGTTTCCTCCGATGAAGCACATGTGACATCAGACTCCGTTCCCCGGCTTTAGTCCAATTCGTAAGAGAATTACACGAGGCTACAACATCAGCACCATGCACACAAACACGCACGCACGCACACACACTCACACGCACGCACGCACCTCAACACCTGGAAAAACAGCACTGCAGCAATCCGCGAGCAAGACGGACACACACGCACACTCACACGCACGCACGCACACTCACACACACTCACACACACACACACTCACACACACACAAGGACAAGGCAGACAGTCAGAAGATCATCGTGCAGCGGCCGATCGAGACGAGTCCTCCGTGTCTGGTCTCAGGCCATTTCGCCTCCATGTGCCGGAGAAAGCCGCGCGTCCCCTTCCCTCGCTGCACCGGCTGCAGCCGCAGCGACGAGCCGTATGTGGCGGTGTGATGTGCATGTGCGCTCACACTCCGCTGTCTGCCGGCTCCACAGCTCTCAACGCGCCTGATTTATGTACTTAACTGTAACCATGTGTGCGGGGGTCTGAGAGGAGGCTGAATGCTGGATGGAGGGGGATGTGTGTGTGTGTGTATATGGGAGGGGGTGCCTGGTTATTTTAGGATCAGTGGAGGCAACAGGCAACATGAGAGTTGTGAAGTGTTTCTGCAGGTGGCTGCTGCTGCTGGACCACAAGCACTCGCAGGAATGAGTCAGTGCTGGCATCATGAATGGGGAAAACCCACCTTGGTGAGTGGTTCATACAGGCCAGACATGTGACTGGAGCACACGCGTATGTTGGCTTCTCACTGATCTGTGAAAGGACGGACACACACACACAAACACAAATGTGCACAGCCATCCTTATTTCGCAAGGACTGACACACATATGCAATATGTGTCACAGTACATGGGTCACATTCTGATATGTCACAATATTAGAATACAATACATGTTACCATGTATATAGCAATACGCTGCATAGATTGATAAATACAGTTTTGATGAAAATGTGAAAAATAGAGCTGAAAATACAACTTGTGTAGCGACCACCTTGAAAGTCTAATTTCTACATCTCATAATACTGATAACTCAGCTGACAAATTGTGCAAAACCTTACAATTCTCCATTCCAGCTCATTAGGGACTATCCATACACTATCGTGGAAAAGATTATTGAGATAGTCAGCTGCATCAATATTTATGCACAGAGCAAAACCTTATCCCTAACCTTAGCCATTCCCAGTATATGCCTAACACCAACCTTAACCTAACCACAATTCACATCTTATCCCTAACTTTAACCACGACCAATGCATGTCCAACCGTAACCTTAACCAAACCACAGTTCAAATCTTGGCCCTGACTTTAACCAGGACCTCAGACATGATGATTTGCCTCATTAGGACCAGGCTTTCGTCCCCATGAGGTTTACTGGTGCTGACAAGTTAAGAGTTTATGCTAGAAAAGGTCCTAGAGGTAACAAAAACCCTCTCACACTCTGTGACCTCTGCCATTAACACTTCTGTTAATCAAGTATATTGTTATAAATGGATGCTGGCCTACTTGTAATTATCCATTGCTATTTGTGACACAACTCCCCGACTTTTATTTGTTATTGTCTTGGTGAAACTATTATACATTATTTTAAAGACATCTATTTGAAGGCCTGTCTTCTGGACAAAGGTTTTTGGCAGTTTGCTCTGACCTTGAGATATCGCTTTCTTAGTGCAGTTACAGAGGTAGCAAAGCTTCAGCAGCCAGTACCAAGAACAATTCATCAATTCAGTTATGATCAACGCCTTTCAGACCACCAGTGGCAGCACTAAGCAAACTGTTAGTCAGGGGACAGAGGAAGAAATCAGGCACCAACTTGGATTTCAAATGGTTTGTACTGATAAGACCCCTCCTCACCAAATTAAATCCTGTGTTTTATTACCACCGCCTTACAGCAGATGTTATTCATCCACTGTGATGACTGACAAGACGCAAAATGCATGTATGCCAACATTTCTGATGATGTCAACTTCCTAGTCTAACATAAGGATAGAATGTCATTGAGTGGTGCACGGCCTCATTGATTTTCATTATATTATATTATAAAAAGTTTTTTTTTTTGTTAGTTGACTAATTACTATTCTAAAAAGGGGTTTCGTCCATGGTTTCATCACAGGTAAACTCCCAACTCTCAGATTGTAACTGCGATATTCAGATTAATCTAACATTCCATATTGTAGAGAGACTTCTATTGGTTCAATATGTTTTGTTTTTATGAATCCTTAATTCCACTCACTAAATGGAAACCTTCAAGATAATTTTTGCATTCAATATTAGGTGTGAGCATACAGCCTTCCGGTCCACTCATGAAGCAGCTTGCCACTTCTCGAGTAGGATTAAACATCGTCCTGGTCTAAAATCTTTTTTAGTGAACATCTCATCACTGAAAAATCCATTACAGCCCAGGATTAGGATTGTCCCGTGCTTGTTACACAGTAAATGCCATATGTATACTAAAGAAATCATCAGTGAAGCCCCTTAGTCTGTATAAAAGGGAGGCCATCAAAGAGACCTGCATGTGAACTACGACTCTCACTGTGTAAGTGCTGGAGAGTCTGACTGTACAAGCAGCAACAATTACAGAAACAACAGGGAAATAGCATAAAAAGTAGGGCATGCACCGTCACTACCTCTGCAACACAATAACAACTTGGCATCAGTTCGACTTCATTCACCCATCTGCCAACCAAACCTCCTGAGCAAAAGATGCAGCAGCGTTATTCCTTCTTACTTGTTCCCTGTGGTTGTCAGGCTCAGTATCAATGTACCTGCTGATTAGAATGACTAAACTTGCATCCTGTTCATTAGACGGCCGCAGAGATTCACCACTCTTAACCTTTTTTGAAATGATCGTTCATAATTATTTGAAATTTCAAATATTTCTGTGTTCCAAAACCTCATGCTTTAACTGGCACAAGGGTCCCTGTTCCTGAGGACTTTAGATAAACAGACTTCTTTTGTGGCACGCTATCAGTTGAGTTAAAGTAGCCTTTTACAAAAGTCGTTTATCTAACACCAAACATTGATATTCATGGTTGGCACAGTCTATTCAATGCTATGGAGAGACAGGAATGGAGCAGAGGATATTTTAAAGCTGCTTTTATATTTAACACTTTACCCTTTGAGTGAAGCTCACTTTAAATGCAGCCATTCAATTTCAAACCATGATATATGATATATTATGATATCTCAGGCTATCTCACACATGTACGTACACTTTGCGGCAACACAAATGCTTTAAAGATTTCCTGAGTCAGAAAAAAATGCCATTATTATCTCCTCTCAGAACAGTAAATCCTCTGCTCTTGAAGGACTTCATTAAAGGCCACATAATGACCACATTAAATTCAGCCTCAGATCGGATGCCAAGTGGTTCCCTTCTGAAACCCAAATCTGTGGTCACCGTGGAGAGGGTCACCAGTGGCAACCTGATCGCAGAATTGTGTTACATAATAGCTTCTTTTTTTGAAATGTAACTTGATGTTGTCAGAGTGTACATACATTTTTCATGACTCCGGTCTCTTGCAAAAATGAGGTTATCAACTGCACTGTAAAAATAAAAACATTAAAAAAAACCTGAGATTTCAGAGCTGAAGAAAATCACTTTCAGTTCAGGCATCTAATGATCTTTTGTTCTGTCATTTATTTGTCATAATATTAAAAACTTAATATTTTGAGATCTGTATAATAATTCTAGTGTGTGGGCTCACAAGAGTTAGGGGGATTTAACAAGAGTGTTACCATGGAGATTAGTATTTTTTCTGTCACAATTAACAATTATATTTCCCACATAAGAAGAATGGGTCGGATTCCTTTTAAGTACCTTTCCTTGTAAGCTGTACTGCATAAACAAAACTCTATAAATGTAGCAGTAACAGGCCGTTGTAGAATAGCTGCAATAACAAACGTTGAAGAACAGAAAATGGCCTCAGGCTGTGCTGTAGGAGTAAACAAATGATGGCATGTATGCTCATAGGACTGAAAAAGTCCAAGTTGTGTGCTGGCTAAAGTCAAACTGTAATCCACAAACTTTATTATGAGACATTAGAGTGTAAAATGTCATTGTTTGCTTGGATTTAATATGTAAAAAAAAAAAACAGCAGGTAATTTAGAGCTTCCAATTACTTGTAATATCCACCATGTTTCAAATTGAAGACCTACAAGGGATATTCACCATCTAGTCCTATATTCTAAATTGTACCAATTAAGATTTCTATGTTCAACTATACAGACTTTGTTGTCTTGTGTTGAACATTTCTTCTTTATTACCGTTCATAGACAAAACATCTCTTTTTATGAGGAAATTAAAAGAACACACGTCTGGCTTCCTGAAAATAGCTCACGGTCGGTACAAAGAATATCAAAGTGTCACTCCTATCCCAAAAATACCTTCACATAAAGCCTTATTTCTATTTCTGTCTCTGCTCCATCAATAACTTTTGGGAACAGTGACAGGCGATGACTGTGCCCTTCCTCCTGCATGACAGCACATCTCATCCTGCTGAATCCAGTGCAGCGCTGCATGGTGTGCATAGCAGGTACTGTCATATTGCTCTATGGGTTGATTGATACAGTTAATACTTTATAAAATGCATATAGACACATACTTCATTATTATGTCAAGAACAGAAACAGGCCTTTGTCACTGAAATCATGCTCTTATTCACTGTAGCTTCTCCTCAATTGACCATTCATCTTCAGTAAGACGTCTTTAACCAGTTTTAGCTAAATTTAGCATCTCCTCGGGCGAGTCATTCTCCAGAAATCTTAATAAGAAGGTTTTTTTTCCATCTGCCTATTAATTTGACTCAGCAAAAAAATATCTACTGGGATCGCTAATTGCGGGTTGGGTAGTGGATGTCACTGATTGATTTGGCTTGTACTCCACAGGTCCCCACAGACTAGACCCTAATGATACTTTACTGTTCATAGTAAGCCCACTTAACCCAGATTGGCTGTCATTAACTGGCAATCACGCTGTGCTCTCACAGACGAAAGTAATTACCTATAGTCTCCTGTCCACAATCCAAAAAAAAA